GATACGATAGTTAAAAGATTTAGACGTCACTCGATTGAAGGCGGTTAGGCAGAGTGAAATACGAGCTAGATATTATGGGAAAAGAGTTCTTCAAAGGATGTTCAAGGAAGGAGACCTGGTTTGGAAAACTATTTTCACAACCTACAAAAAAGTCGATCAGTTAAGAAAATGGTCTCCTAATTGGGAGAGACCTTTTGTAGTCATAAGGAAATTGGAAATGGACCATTTATTATTATGGATCAATGATGACTCTAAATATAAGCATATTCTTCGCTTGCAAAAGCTACGTATTACTTTAATTTCTGTATAAAAACTATCACAATAACTAGTTAACGGCATACTTTATTGATCTATATCGCTTAGCATGATCCAGAGTTGGTTTGTTGAGATTATTAACAATTTTTTCCCTTTCAAACGGTGTTTTGGAGCCAAAAAAGCTAAGGCAGACGCCATAAACGACAGTCATCTTAACTCACAAACGGTGATTCCATCGCCCAGAGAACCTAAGGCAAGAGAGGCAAGCGGTAGCTTCCACCGCTCCCAAGCGGCAGCCTCTCCTGCTCGCCAGCGGCACCCCAGACACCCAATGCTGCAGAGCGACGGAAACTCAACTCAAATATTGACCAAGTGTCCCAACTGCAGCAGTACAACCATTCCTCTACCAGCTAGCACAAGCTAGCCCGCCTAACTGCTCTGATGCCCTTCAATCATCCGACAAGCGAGGAAGATCTGCGCCCTTACAAACCCATGCAAGCGGAGCGACCACACTAGGAGCTATGGCCAGCAACTGCTTCAACTGAATAACCGTCATCAACTGCCTAACTGCCTAGCGGTTGAAACCACTTTGCAACTGCTTGTAACCGCTACTTCTACCTGCTATAAATAGGGTCAAATATCTGTATATATATACTTCGACTAAAGTATACTAGCGATTACTTTTTGTGCATTCTAGCTGTCTTCCTGTTCTCCGAGAGCTCCAACCCTGTTAGGGACTTCTCCACATGAATGGCCAAGGGAGTGGGGATTCCCCTTCTCCCTTGGCCAATACTTTACTGCTTACTTACTGTAGTTTATCGCTTTCATTTACAGTTTTGTAGAATTATAATTTTCAGCTTTACTAGTAAGTAATGAAATATCATTCAATTCTTCATCTCCACTTCTTTCACACCTTTTTACACTTATATAAATCCTGATTGTAAAGAGTTTCACCTCACTGGTTTAGAGTACAGAAAAATTGATTATCCAAGCCTTGTCTTTTGTCATAAACATTTTCAAGATAGTTCAATGTAGTTAAGTAAGTGGGAACCTTGTCGACTTGCTTAACTACTGGTTTAAATTCAATTTTGATTAAAAAGAGGTAACAGAATGATAAAGCCAATAATGAGGCAGAATTTGGGATAATTAATGGGGCATAGGCGGGTGGTCTATTAGGTTGCATAAATTCCTATTGACAGTAGAGTTTCTTTCTTATAATGTTCCGATTCTGGATGTCATTGAAGTCTTGTCGTAAATCGCTTAAGGTCAAACACCAGTGATAAGAATTCTGTATAATTTGATTTATATATTTACACCATCTCCTTTTACCGTTTTTGTATTATACATATATATCCGTTAAAACACCAGCAACGCTCGCTCATATCATCTAGGAAAACCTAGCCATTAAGTAACCCACAACGCAGACACAACACATCTCCTTCACTCCTTACCGCTTAATCTATACATATATATACTCATTGTGCCACTCGCTCATGTCCCACTCGCGCGCCCACCACTAGCACTCCACCGCTCATCTCCGCTCTGCTCGCCACCGCTCACTTTACCGCTTTTGTTTACAGCTTTTCATAGAATAGTAATTTTGATCCGCTTCAAAACGGGTCCCTTTACTGCATTCTCTGCCGCTTTCGTAAGACCTATAGTTGATTTAAAAATTCGTGACTTAAAATCCCTGTGTTCGACCTGGAAATTCACCAGTTAAAGAGTATAAATAATTATGATAACTACTCAGGGTCTACAACCATAAATTTTTACCATATCTGATCATTTTTTATATATCCACCACATTTCAATCTTTGAATGAAAATTCCCTATGAACATACACAATCACACATACATTTCACCAAATCAAGTTGTCAATCAAGAAGGAAAATTAATACATGACAACATTAGTGCTAAGTATCTGAAAATGTATTATCCTATATTTTCAGGTCAAAAAAAATAATCATTGTTCTAAGTTATTTGGACCCATTAAGGGTTTAGACCCATTAAGGGTTTATTCATCATTTGAGAGGGGTGATGCAAGGGTGATTTTTTTCTGATTCAAAATCCTCATCCCAGCCGGTGGACACCAATTCTAGTTCTTCATCCAGGAGATCTTCCAAGTCGAGTCGGTATCGATCCCATTGTTCTTGTATTTCTTTCAAATCTTGTTCAGTTCGGACTTTTATGTCTTGTAGAGATTGGAGTTCTCTTTCTACAATAATACATAGTCGGATCATCTATGTTAAGAAAACACATTATTCCAACTGAGATCTGGTAAAATCACCATAACACGATGTTCTATCAGGTCCATGTGATGGTCAAGATCAGGTATGTGACCGAGGATGTCACTAAGTGTTTTGTACCCAATGGAAACATGTTCCATCAAGCGAATCACACGATGGATCATTCATCTACCTGTGAAAAAATTTGAATTTGAAGTCCAGTTGTTTGAGTTCATACTTCAGCACGAAAATTTGAATTTGAAGTCATACTTCAGCATGACAACCAACATGGTGTTGTCCAACCAAGAAAGGTTGCAATGCTCTCTCCCAGTTGCTAGACGGAACACTAATTCGTGATTCAAACATTTTCGTGAAGCGTCTAAAGAGCAAAGGTCTGGATTGTTTGTTTTAAGATTTAAGAGTCTATTTATTGTTGGAAGTTTGGCTATTTGGGAGTTTTGCAAGTGATTGGTTTAATTGGTGATCCGTGATAGTAGGATAATCTGTTGATAGTACATTACTTGATCAGAGGCATTTTTATTACATAAAAGAAGGAATTTACAGGAGGTTATCAAAGGTAGTCCTGATATCAGTCCATTTTTGTTCAAATCGGGCTGCCCAATGATTCTCAAAGGCAACTTAATGTTCATGTATAAGCCGTGAACTAATGGAGGCTTGCAATTCATGTGTTAGGTTGGAATGGTTCCGCCTGCATTCCTCAATCAAACGTCTTTTTTTTTTTTCAATGCACCTTTTTCTTCAATGCATCCAATCAGGGCGGTTTGTTTTCTCTTCAAATTCTCCATCTCTTTTTGAAGACGCTCCAATTCTATTTGTCGCCTATTAAGGGACTATTTGATAAAAAGAATAAAATTGTAGAAAAATGACAATAGAGAATAAAATTGCAGAGAAAAAGAATTGAGCAGAGAATGTGAATTAATTCTCTTGTTTGATAAATTAGATAATTCAGTTGAGAAATAAAAAAAATGCAACTATCTTAATATATCGAATAAGAATAAATGATTAATCGGACAAACGAATGTTTTAACGAATGATAATTCATGAATAAATAATTTTGGTGAATTTTTTTTTTAAAATTATAAAATACTTCCTCCGTCCGCCTCTAAGAGTCAAATTTACCTTTTACTTATTGTACTTACCATTAAAAATATATTTATATTTGTATATTTTTTTGTAAAAATGTCATTCTATTAATATTATAAGACACTGATAGAAGTATTTTTGCAATTTTTTTTAATTTGTACTATGATTTGATATAATAATTAATATTCAAATATAAACACACAAAAAGTAAATGAGACCTTAGAGTTGGACGAAAATAGTATATAAACTTACCCACTTATACGAAAAAAAATTAACAATTAAACACAAAATATTATTATTAATATATTGGCAAGATAATTTTCCATATCTAATATAAAAGATACTACATCTATTTAAAAATATAAAGCAAACAAATATTCCTAATTAATAAATCTATTATTGTATAAAACTAATTACATGAAAAAATATATAAAATATTTTATTCATAATATACTTAGTATTTTTAGAAAAATAAAATAAAATTCTAGCATATGGCATTTAAAATATTTAATTAAACAATAATATAATAATTATTATTAGTGTTTTATGTTAATATTCTTACGGTTATATTCCTCAGTCTTTATTTTATAATTTAGAAGTCAATTTTAATATAGAGGTTTTTAAGTGTTTTTTTTTTCAACGAAAATACAAAATCAACACACTCTTAAATTTTGTAAAGTTTTGTTCTCAATTATTAGAAATTGTAAAATTGATTTAAAAAATTATAATATTGTTTTTGTAGATTATTATTTTTAAAAAAAAATTTAAATATGTCGGAAAAGTAAACAATATATTTTATTTGTATGTAAAGAGTATTGTTAGTAATTAAAATAAAAAATAATATGTATAATTAAAAGAAATTTAGATTATATGTATGATATTATATGTTATAAAATTAATTAAATTAATTTATATGTATTTAGTATGTAATAAATTAATGAAATTTAAAAAAAAGTATCATTTATTATGAGCATACTAAAATTCAAATAATTACGTTTGTTATGGTGGATGGAATATATGATTTTAACCTATATTATTGTTTTTTATATAACCTATAAAACAAAATGAAAATTTCGAAGTGGTCTCGAAGCCCGCACGTTTAAGGGCTTATGTAGTAATTTTTTTCTAGTGGGTCAGATTTTGAAGTCTATAAAATTTGTTTCAAATCCATTCTTTTGTCATTCTTAAATATAATTGAAGATGAATTACTGCAGTTAATCTTACCAAAAAAAAAAAAAAGAAGATGAAAAATACTATAATTCTTACAAAAATAAAAGTACTATTAAAGACGGTATAAGATCCTAGTAGTATATTTTTATTAATGGCATTGGCACGGCACATCCACATAAATCTATATGTATATCTGTGTTCCACCCATATATATATATAGTGCAGGAGCAGAAGTTGGATCCTTACTAGAAAAACAATGCATCGGCTTAATCTTTGCATTTATATATAAATATAAATATAAATATATATATATATATATATAGAGAGAGAGAGGGAGAGAGAGAGAGAGAGAGAGAGAGAGCTTAACACACAGAGATACAGTAACAGTAATGATCAGGAGGAGGTGGGGATCCATTGATCCCCTTGAATGAAATTTTGAACTGAATAACTATGAACATGCTCTGCCGGGATCTGGCTGCTCCACCTTACTCGTTTCGATACATCTGACCCCCGTCCCCTGTTTTCAAATTCTCCATAGTACAGGGTGTTTAATGCAAATTCTCCACTCCAGGGCATCCATCCGTCGGGATGGATAAGAGCTTCCATGGTGCATCCAATGAACACTGTCCTCGAGTATTCCTTCCATGGCCGCCCCAGATAATTCTTGTGCACTGCCGGTTTGCTGTGATACAAACCCATGTACGCGTCGGTGCCGTTTATCACACAATTCTGGAAGACGAAGCCTGTCGATTGACCAGAATCGGTTCGCCCATGGGCTGTCACTGCATTGCTCTCCCCCTTCTCAGGTCTCAGCTGTCGGGGAGCAACAAGGATCACACAATCTTGGAAGAAAGAAGCAGAGTTTCCAAATATGAAGTCCACATTGCCTTGGATTCGACATGATCTGTAGTACTGTCGTAAGGTGTGGACATAGAGGGTGTCTTGATTGCCGAGGAATTCGCAATTTTCTACCACAGAGAGATCGCTGTCTGATCGGAATGCTACTGCTTGGTGAGCTTCGGGGCCTGCCGTGTTCTGGATCGTCAAGCCACTCGCCATAAATCCATCGCCCACAACACCTTAATTGGGACAGAAGCGAGCAAATCAGACAAACCAATTCTTGCAAAACTCAAGCATGTTCTTAATCGAGTGATATGTAAACACAACTAAATGGCATTCGCATTCGCATTCAAGCATGGTCTGTGTATGTGTATGTTGTCATATAAAGATACCTACTCACCATTTTGCACATTACAGAATCATATACTAATAATACCATCTGCCGTAATTTCCACCTAGCTAAATAACGAATCAGGAACTAACTTTCCATACTTGAAACAACAATCCACTTGAAAATTATCAGTCTCTCTGCTTCACCCAACCCAACATTAATAGAAACCAAATTCGACCTGTTTTGATCCTAAATTCTAGCCTTAAGGATGAACCATGAAAGAACACAACAAGCCATTTACAGAGAGCAACCAAGAAACGTACCCAAAGTGGCAGAGTTGTAGGTGGACACGCCCTGCAGGCCGACATTCAAGGCCCCTGTAATTACTGTTTTCCCCATTCCATCCCCTAAGAAAACCACCTTCTTCTTCTCCAACGGAACCCGGACAGTCTCCTCGTACACCCCTGCCTTAATCCAAATCACGAAATGGCTACCGGCCCCAGAGTTGTCCGGGGCGGCGTTCACCGCTTCTTGCACCGTCTCGAAATTGCACGCGCCGGCGCCGCCCTTGCACACAGTCACGTCATGGTTAAGCCCCCGCGGGACGCCGCCGACAAAACCAGACGACGACGATGATGATGATTCTGAGCCGGGTTCCCAGAAATCGTCGCGCTCGGTCTTGGGCGGACTCCACGAAGCTGTCTTGTCGGTGAAGACGTCGTAATTCACCATCATTGCCAGAGTATTGCTGGTGGAGGGGATCAGAGAGGTGTAGAAAAACGACATGGTTTTATCGACGAGGGAGGTGTCGTTCACGTACTTGAGCGTGGACCAGCAGTCGTAGTTGTAGGCCAATGCGGCGGTCATCCAGGCCCGGGCGTCCTTGAGCTTGCCACGCGGCAGAGCCTCAGCCACCAGATTCATCCGGTACTCGGAGTAACGCAGCAGCTCCAGGCAGGTCTTGGCACCGATCGTACGGTTCTGATTGGGTGCGGACGCGTTCAGGATTTCCTGAACCATGCCGCGCCCGGCGTTGAGATGGGTCGAGGAGATAGATAGTGACGATTGGATCACCTGCAACACGGACGGGGACGGCGGCACGTGACCCGCCTGGGAGAGGGAGGCCTGGCACGTGGCGGGATCACGTGATGCCTTGCAGGTCTCGTTGATGATGTTTTCGGAAGAGGGTGGTCCGGCGTCGTCCTTGGGCAGCGGGTGGTGGTGGTGGTGGTGGTAGGAGGCGGAGGAGAGAGTGAAGAAGAGGAGGAGAGAGAGAAAGAGTAAGAGGAAGGCTGCCATAGCTATGAAAAGGAATTTGGAATTGGAAGGGTGAAATTGGTTGGGACAGAGGGGATTGGAATTGGAGTGGGAATGGGAATGGGAATGGGAAGGCCGCGGCATGGGCTTAATAGGCTTTCTAAGAAGCATCTTTATTTATTTAAGGAGTGAGTCAACAGAGAAACAGACAAACAATCTTGTTGGATCGGAGAATTGATTTGAAGGAGAGAGAGGATTGGAAGATGAGTCACGGGACGAAATTAGATAAGGAGTGGAGGAGTAAAGTGGGAGGGAGGGGTTGGGGTGTAGTCGTGGAATACGCTTGCTTGCTTGCTCGCTCACTCGCTCACTCACATCCCAATTGCCAATTGGGCGTAGCGTAGCGTAGCGTGGTCTTAAACGGGAGGAGGGAAGGATTGAGTAATGGAGTTGTCGGTTTGGGGAATCTGGTGGAAACTGGGGCAGATCTGATCTGATCTGATCTAATCCGACGGAGTCTAGAGAGAGGGAGGACCGTCGGACGGAACTGCACGGCGACAGAGAAAGAGAGAGAGTGGCAAAATCGGGGAACGCGGCGGCCATTAATGCCTGTGGAATTTGCAGGTCAAGGCCCAACTAAGTCACGGGGCGGGTGGTGCAAATACACGCGTCTCTGTTATTTGTACGGCATCACATGTTTGCAGGAATATTTATTTGTATTATACGCATGTTTAATTTGGCTATGGTAAATCTTATAATTACTTTTAAGGGTGCGTTTGTTCGAAGGATTGGATTGTTTTTTAATTATTCATCCAATTTTTTTTTTTCTCTAAAACATTAAATCAAATATTTATTTTTTATTTTTTTATATTATACTAAAAATCAATTTTACATTCAAAACATCACATCAACACCTATTTATATCACATCATATAACTATTCAATTCAAAATTTTACTATTCAAATCCCAACTCAAAATTCAAATCTCCAAACAAACACACCCTTTAAAATTTATTTAGGATTTATTTAATTACATACTTTTGTGCCAATATCTTTTTTATATTTTTTTCGTTTGTCTCACAATAACAAAATTTCAAGTTAACAATTATCATTGATTCTAAAGAGTAGACCTAATATTTTTATGTCTTTATATATTTTTAATTGAACATGTTCGATTCAAATATTATGTGTCAATTCAAAATATTTTTTTTAGCATTTTTGTATATTTTAATTCAAAGTATTTTTTTCAAAAAACAAATAAAAAAAATTAAATACGTTTAACTTTTACTTAAACTACAAAATATAAGATTACATATACAAATTCTTTATACAAATGTCAAAAAAAAAAAAAAAAAAAAACTCTTACCTTCCACGAATGTTACGTGGTTTTTAAATTAGTGTACACTCGCCCCTTTCTTCTTAGATCTACTAACGACGGTTAAATTTGATAAAATTGACCGTTTACATTTATTTATATTTTTTAATTTATTTTTCCATCTTTTGTTTCTTTTTTTTTCACTTTCTCTCCAAACCTCCAGTCTCATCTTCTTCGTTACTTCTATTTTCTTTTTCTTTTTATTTTTATAATAATTAATAATATATAATAATTTAATTTATAAATATATTATCTTTATCAAATATGTATGTTTTCCCTAATTCATCCATACTTCCGGTCGACCGCAAAAAGTTTTCATTTTTCTTCCTTAATTATTTTTCATCTTCTTCTTTCCTCCTCCATGTTCTTCTTCACAGTCGCCGCCGGATCCGCACCAGGTTCTTTTTTTGCTTTTTTCACTAACTTTACTTTCTTCTTTCTTTTTTCCTCCTTCTCCTTCACAGTCACCGCCCGCAACAATTATTTACAGAATTCTTGTACACTTCTCCGTCTCCATTCGATTAATTGTGTTATAAATTTGAGATCAATTTCAACTTTGGCTTTGTGATTGACAAATTTAAAATGAAAGAAAATTTTTAATAGAAATTAAATTCTAAAAACTTAAAAAGAAAGGAGGAAGAAGGTGGGGTAAGCTAATAATAAATTTAATAACGTACGAGGGTATTTTAGTAATTTTATACAAAAATATATCAATTTATGGACAAAAAATCGCATTTCAGGCTCGTGATATACAACTGCCGTTAAATCTTAACGGATGGGGGATTTCTGCAATATTTTAGAAACGAGTAGGTTTTTTGGACTTTGTTGGACATGGCACCCGAACGTGAATGAGGCTCAAAGATAGAAGTGGAGCCAGAGCTCTTTGGCCACGGAACCGCTCAACAACAATGGAGCTTCAAGCCTCAGAGCAAAAGATTGTTGCCTCCACAGAGCCAAAGACAACATCTTCCATTGGATTGTGGTGTTTTCTCAGGGCCGAAAGCAGCAGTCTCCATGGACCTTAGGGCAGCAACTCTTTGAACTATGGCACCTCCATCCCGGAACAATATTTCCATAAGGTCATAAATTGTTGTTTCCATTGGGTTGAAAACAACTACTTCCATTGCATTGCGGTGCTTCCAAAAAGCAGATGAAGATTGCCTTCACAACATAGAAAGCAACAGCTTTCAGACTATAAGATAACTACTTTCATTGGCCCTAGGTTAATAATTTCATACTGAACATTAGTGGAGGGCCTATGCACTTTCATACTTTATTCAAAAAGCTCTATGGAACAAGCCAACAAGAGGAAAACCGAAGATTCCATGTAACTCGAGGCTGTTGGGAACACATCCCCGTGGACCGGCTAAGAGTATGATGGAAACAAGTCGGAGTAAGCAATAGATCTAGTCTAGAGGCAATGGAAGAAGTTCAGAGCAAGTGGAACCCAGTCCAGAGGCAATGGAAACGGTTGGGAGCTGATGGAAGGAGGTTACCAGGTGGTTAATAGAAGGAGGTTACCAGGTAGTTGGGAGCTGATAGAAGGAGGTTACCAGATGGTTGAGGGTGATGGAGGAATAATTGGAATTGCTCCTTTTAGTGAGAAGAGACGGTTATTCTATCTTAGGATTAAAACTAGGAAAAAACACATCACACAAACGCACAAGAAGATGAACTCGTATATTTCTCTATTTTTTTCATGTTTTAGTTCTTGTTTATGCATTTTAATTCGAATTACATGTTTTTATGTTTCTAGCATATTTTTATCCGCTTTCTAGTAGATTTATCTGACTATTAGTAGATGTTAGTTTAAATCCATCGAAATCGACGTTTAGGCTCGAAGCCTCGTTTAAGATCGAAGCCGTGCAGGCTCCACCAAAGGAGCCGCCCCCAATCCGACGACGGACAGACTCTTTGGAGTACTTCCGGAACCCACACCGATGAATCAACGTGTTGTCTTGGAACCTTCGAATTTTAGGATCCAACAATTGGCACGCCCAATGGGACCAAAGTCGGATTTTTCAAAGAGTGATGTCGAGGTTTACATGGGGTTCATTTGTACCGCCTGAAGAAAGCTAAGGAATTGTTGCAGAACATCCAATGCTTCAAGCCTTAGGGCCGGGGCAGACAAGATCAGGCTCGAACCAATAGCCTGCAGGAAGCTGGAACAACCTGCAGAGGACTGGAACCACCAGTCTGCGGAAAGGCTGGTTCCAAAAACCTATGGATGGCTGGAGCCAACAACTTGTGGAAGGTTGGCAACAGCCTGCGGAGCGTTGGAGCCAACAGGCTGCGGAGGGCTGGAACCCCTTGGCCGTTGGAGTTTTGAAGAGCAGTCCTGAGCCTCCACGAGAGGCAAGCAAATTTTCAGAATTTGGCATGATCCCGTCAGGGAGATTAAGCGGAAAACCTATGTGGAATGCGCCAACACCACCATGGGGATGTCACGGTCCGAACGTGGCTAATCTCTAATGGAAGAGGATAATCGAAACACAGGGGCAAGGAGGGCAGGCCGTAGAGATTCAGCCGCCAACCTTCCATCAGCAGACAGCAGCCGCTTACACCAAATCAACGGAAGGCCAAGCCTTTAATGGACATTGATGTCATTGCAGATTGCATAAGGAGGGCATTTTAAAAAAGAAGGTTTGAAAAGAAGCCTAGTGCTACTTTGATCGCGGAAAATTCACCTTCATACAGAAAAAAAACTACAGGGGTAGAGACTCCAGATGCTGTGGAGGCTCCAGTCGAAAAGAAGTCTGCGGAGGCAGAGGTTCCAGAAGCCATGGAAGCTCCAGAGTTTGTGGAGGTAGAGACTCCAGAGGCTATGGAGGCTCCAGTTGAAAAGGAGTTTATGAAGGCAGAGGTTTTAGAAGCTATGGAAGCTCTAGAATTTGAGGAGGCAGAGACTCCAGGGACCGTGGAGACTCCTAAAAAAAAGGAGGATGTACGGGTAGAGGCTCCATATGAAAAGGACTCTGCAAGGACACAAGCTCCAGAGACCATAGAGGCTCCGCACGAAAAGAAGGCTGTAGGGGAAGAGACTCGAGAGGCTCTGGAGGTTCCACACGAAAAAGAGCCTGCAGGGGTAGAAGCCCTAGCGACTTCAGACGAAAAAGACTTTGCGGAGGCAGAAGCTTTGGCCACAAAATTAGAAAATGGAAAGACTTATTTGTGTCCGGCATTGAAGCCGACCAAAGGGTTTATTCCCTTTGCTAATACTATATCGGCTAAAGGGCTTCTGAAAGACGGCTTAGCACCCAGCCGTCAAAACCTTTGGTTCAAGACTATCTAGGACCGAAGGCACCCGCTAAAAAAGCCGTCTTCACAATAGTGACATTTGATAAAGTCTCAAGTTCTAACATGGAGAAGGTAAAACAAAGGATGGTCAAGAGGGAGCTTAATGTCGGTGTCACCATCCCAAGTCCGAATCCCTCAGGATTGGAGAAGAGAAAAGTATACAAAGGATCCAAGCCGGAGGCCATCATAGCAGAAGTGAAAGTCACAATTGGGAAACGGATTTGGACTGTTACCACGGATGACCAGATCATCATGGCGACACGGAAGCCTCCTATCGCGAAAGAGAATGAAAAAAGGATTCTGAATGAGTCGAAGCTTTCCACTAGGGGGGCAATAAGGGGACTCGTTAGGAATCAAAAGAGGCGAGCTCAAAGAAGAAAGTTGGAGGCTTGTATGGAAGAGTAAAGAACACATGTGCTGTCTCCGAAAGAAAAATAAATGGAAAAGATGCCTCCAAAAAAGAAGCAGGTTATGGAGTCGTTTCCAAAAAGAAAGCAGGCTGCAGAGCTGCTAAGAAACCGGTTGTGGAGCCGCTTCTAGAAAGAAAGTAGGCCATGGAGCTGCCTCCAGACAAGAAGCAGGCTATGGAGCCGCTTCCAAAAAGAAATCAGGTTGTGAAGCTGCTAAGGAAACAAGTTGTAGAGCCACTTCCAGAAAAGAAGCAGGTCATGGAGGCGCCAACGAAGCAGGTTGTGGAGCCGCTTCCAGAAAGAAAGCATGCCATGGAACCGGCAAGGAAGCAGGCCATGGAGGCGCCAATGAAGCAGGCTGTGGAGCCGCTTCCAGAAAGAAAGCAGGCCATGGAGCCACCAAGGAAACAAGCTGTGGAGCTGCTTTTAGAGAGAAAACAGGCTGTGGAGCCACTTTCAGAGAAAAATCAGGCTGTGGATTTGCTTCAAGAAAGAAAACAGGCTTTGGAACCACTAAGGAAGCAAGTTCTGGAGCCAT